CTTTGCCATTACCTCCCCCCTCCCCTCCCCCCCTTCCCGATCAACCAACTGCACCCTCCCTTCGAAGGTCTCATTATACACTCTCCTCCCTCCGCTCTCTCATCAACTAGCACTAAACTGATACTGACAAAGTTCCTGGGGGAGTAAGGAGGAGGGGGGAGGGGGGAGGTGACAGAAAGGTACCGAGCGAACTTTTGTACAGTAAAACAACTAACATTTAAGTTCATGGGGAAGGGGGAGAAAACCCCTTGCCCCTGCCCCTCCTGGATTCACCAATGATAAAATGTGAATTAAAGGACCAGTTGAATTAAAGGACGTGAATTAAAGATCGGAAGATTTTCCATTGGAAAAACAATACAATATTTGTTACTGGAAAAATAAAATACGCAACCAGTAATCCGTTTCAGAATGACGAAAATACACTTTCGACCTTTTTCTAACAATGTAGACATACGTTCAACACTCCTCTTCAGTAAAACAATAAAACATTTACTAATCCTCGCCAGAAAATAACGGAAACACAGTCAGTGATACACGCTGCTTTCGGAAGTGAAAACAAAAAATTAACATCAATAAACTAACAACCCGAAAGAACAAATTTCGTTCTAAAATTTCTTTTCTAGAAGCAAAAAAAAGGAAAAAAAAAAACAATGTCAGTAACATCAAAAAGCTAAGCGAGAGATGCAACTTCGTTTACAGCAACCCATCAACGAACAGTTGCAGAATAACCGAACAAAGCATTGAAATATGTACACGGCTGCATGCTCAGAAAAAAAAAAATGCACAAAGAAAAATGGAAATTTCAATATTTTTGAGAAACTAAAGACTGACTATAAAACTATGAATCTCTTACTACAACAAAGTTTGTTAATCTTGCGACACGCTTTTGTGATTAGTGTTTTTTTTTTCTCGTAAACGTATAGCATATATGTATAAATATTTAAATAAATATGCAAATAAATAAGATAAAAAAATATGCGTTCTGTTCAGAAAGGGCTATCGCAACGTGCGCAAAATTTCAGGAAAATTTGATAAATTTCACGAAAATTTCAAGAAAATTGCTGGAATGTTGAGATACGTTTACAAACAGATACAAAAGCAAGACAGTAACAGTACTATGACTTAACAATTATTTCAGGCAGTTTAGTTTGATAAGCAGGCCGCTGTTTTTACATTTCACGCTTCTTAATCAAAAATACATATAGCCATTGGCCCAAGGATTGGGGGAAAATCCTAGTAACACTACAAAAATGGAATTTCCATACTAACCATCCGTGCGGTTTTGATATTTTTCAAAATGAAACCCATATTTTCAAGAAGAAAAGAAATTTTCAAGAAATTTTTTTAAAAAAACCCTATAATCTCAGAAATTCACAGACCCGTGGGGCTCAAAATCATAATCTCACAAAACTCATGTTCAAATTCGGTTGAAATTTGCATTTCAATAAATTATTGAGTATAAAAGGAAGAAGCTGTGCCAAATTAAACTCACTGTCCAAGTGCATTGAGAATATATTTTAGCGAATTTTTACCACAAATCAACGAAAGGGGAAAAGAATTTCAAATAAAGCCTTACAAACGCATCAAAACAATAAACATCAAACGTTTACGAAATCTTTCACTCCCAATTTCTGCAGCTTCTCATATGCCTGAAAAAATAAAAATATATTTTTTTAAAAAAATAGTTAAACTTCTAAAAAATCTCGAATCATTTATTTGAACCGTTCAAAGCCGGTTCTAAACAGTTCATATTTAATTATACTTTTTACCAGCCGAGAAAAACTGAGTGCCAGAGCAACACTTTCATTCTGTGTAGAAATGAAACATGGAATACCACGCTTGCTAAGTAGTAGTGATTCAAAAAAAAACCCCCGTGAAACAACGCGTAGTAGGTGTCAGCAAGTTGCAATATATCTTCAAGCGCTGGCTTTGGTCTGGTGTAAGCAGTACTGAGAATACTAGCCCAGCAGTAATAGGTTAGTTATGTAGCAAAGACGAAAGAAAACGAACAAAGCAAACTGTTCTACGATACCCACGCACTGCTAGGGGAAGGTTTCCAATTGTATGGCAAACGGGAGTTCTCAGAAAAGAATGGAGAAATTGCCAGCTGCATCAACGGTGAGAAATGCGACAACTAAACAACATCACATTGAAGTATCGGCAGACAGGATAAAATTCAAAGGATAGATATGTATCGCACGATACGCTGACAGTTCTATAAGTTCACGTATGAATTCTTCAGATGGCATTAATTAATAAACTCAGCTACAGACAACCACACGAATTAACGGGCCCAAAGGACGAGGTGTGCACCTAGTACAAATGGCGTGCACCACTTGAAAAGGCACATAGCGCAGAATGAGTAAGTACACCCTATTGGCAAACTCAGGCTATAAATGCATCTCGGTCCCATCGCAACTGCCCCTTGAAAGTTATGTCGAATTTGATGATCTAAGGCATAATTCGAAGTGAAATTTTCGAATCGTTTTATAACTAATCAACTTTTTTTTTAAAGAAAAACATCATAAACTTGCGCATCAACGAAGTGAAAAATCCAGCTATACCTTATCATGTGCAGTACCATCGTCGATCGTAAGAACTGGCATTCGAAATGCTGCCTTGTACAGCTCCAAAGACTCTTCTTTTTTGCCCAATCTAGCTTTCACTTCTGCCAGATACCATAAATTCGAAGAATAGAAATGAGGCTGAAAAAAACAAGGAATGAAGTTGTAGTATCAGCTAATTTTGTAAAAGAAGCTTTCTGAGCTGGGGCAAAAAAAGCTTGCAAAAAAAATCCTGCATGCGCATCTGTCTTTTTTTTTTGAATCACAAGCAAACAGATGAAGCTATTATTACCCCAGATAATTACATCTAATACTACAAAGCAATATCATCACTAAAATAGCACTAAACATTACCAACTTCGTCTGGACAGAGACTATTGCTATAAAAACCTGAAAAATCTTGGATAACTGCCAATTCATAATCCGACTTTTCACCTATCTAAACGGCAACCTTCCCAATTTTGACCAGGCGTCTGCTAGCGATCCTAACGTTCGTTTCGTCTTCTGTTCAAGAGATCATCAACTCAGCGATTCCTCTTTCAGTGGTAATTAGCAAGGCTTAGACCGCTGATAAGATGTCATAACCATGTTTTGAAAATCATTACCTCTACACGAAAGCTTTCACTTCAGGACCACGATGAAGTTTGCTATCAAATAATTCTCCCAGTAACACGACAGGAAAATAATATACCTTGATATATTCGGCTTTCTCGAAGCATTTCAGCGCATCTTCATAGCTTGCTGGTGGTGGAGTTTCAAATATTGTTTTGATTAACATGGTCTTCCAAGACGAGAGATCAGCATACGTGAAGTACCAGACACCTTCAAAATAAACACAAACGACTATTTCTACAAAATTAGCAAAAAATAAGAAATGCATTAAACGAAGCAGACTCTAATAGCTAATAAAACTGGGGCAATTGCACGAACATAGAAACCAAAAATTGAACGTGCCCGTAGGTCACGACGTAAGAAGTTTGTGAAGTTGTACGTCAAGACGTAAGAAAAAGTTTATGGACCCATCAAGATGCAGGGAATGATTTTTTAAAATTTTACCTCAACGATTTATTTAGTCAAGGAAACAAGAAAACTAGAAATCACGCACATGCTTCCACACACATACGCACTCATACACACATACACATGTAACAAACAAAAACATACAGATACACACAAATACACACAAACATACACACATACATATATACATACACACATACATGCATACACATACACATACACACACAAACACATACATATACACATACACACATACACAAACATACACAGACACACACAGACGAAGCAACCACACAGATAAAACACTTGACTGTCCGAGTAGTGCTGGTTTTTCTGGTATTATAATCACCATTATCAATATTATTATTATTGAATATACCATTATTATTGCTATTATTATTGTTATTATTATTATTGAATTTGTAGCTTTTACTGATACTGCGGATAAATGTATCAAAAAAAAAAAAAAAAAAAAAACTAACCA